GGGGGGACGACGACAAGGCAAGACAGCGTTGTGACTGCACAGCCTCATGACCCAGAACCTGGAAACTCACTGCAACCATCTCAACAGCTGGGGGAGGAGACTCAGTCTCCATGAGCCCCTGGACCGGGGCAGAACACTGGATGTGACCCAAACCCCCAAGGGCGCCTCCTCTTTTCCAGGCGTTAAGATCAAAGGTGCTTTCCTTGCACAGGTGCATGTCTTACCAATTAGGAATTGTCCCTCTAGCGCTGTCCAAGCGAGCTCTCCATACCCTGGCCTCCGAGCCAGAGGGTGGAAAAGGGTCCTCATGCGAACCCAGGAGCAGACAGGTGGAGTTTGGGAACCAGAAGCTAGTCCTGGGTATCCTGCCAAGGCCCCTGCAGCCCGGCCCACCCGCCTCCCTCCCTCTGACCTGGAATCCCACTGTCCCAGCTCTCTACCCACACTTCGTAGCAGATGATGGTCTCTGGATGCCCGCTGCCGTGAGCCTGCGCCATAGGACACAGCGTTGCCCTCCAAGAGCTGGTGACAGCCGTGTAAGCCCCTGAACTGCTACGGGGACCAGGGCATCACAGTCACCTGGGAGCTTATCTGCAATGCAGGTTCCCAGGTCCCCCTCCAGGATCTGAAGCAGAGACCCCGGGGGGGCCTAGGGAAACTGCACTTCAAGAACGCTGAGTGATGGTTATAACACTGAAGTTAGAGACCATTGCTCAAAAAAAGAAGCATTTCAATGTATTTATCATTTTTGCCCTGACAATGTCAAAAAAGAGACATCAAAAAGTAACGTAAAAGCCTAACATAAAAGGAATACTTATAATAAAGCTTCCCCCAAAACTGAGTACTGACCTCACCGTGAGGAAGCAGCCTCAGCCGTGTGCGCCGCAGGGACATAACCACAGAGGAGACGCCGCAGGGGAAGGAGAGCACGAGGCCCACGGCAGACTGCAGGTCCCCCTCCCAGACCGGGTGCACGCTGGCCAGCCCTCTGGGGTGTCTGTTCATTACCCAGACACCCTCCCTCGGAGCGCTACGTGGCTGGGAAAGGTGAGATGTCACTCAGGTCGCTTTTTTAATGTTTGCAGAACCCTGTGCAGGGACCGGAGAAGGAGAGGAAGTGCTGCCTTTCACGGCTTTGATCGAAGGGAAGCAAAGCTGTGCTGGAGCCTTGATCGCAGAGAACTGGGTGCTGACGGCCGCCCATTGTCCCACGTAAGTAATTCTGAGCCCCTCTCATTCTCAGGGCAGTCGGGGGAGGAGAGGGCGTGGAGAGGACTCTGAAGTCCAAAACCCAAGTCGGGTCAGGATGGGGGGGGGGCAAGGACACCCAATGTTATGTTCTACGTGACATGTATCTGTAAGCAAAGGCCGCGTCCTGTAGAATACACCTGAGATGCGTGGCTGTCTTCTCATCTTATTTTAAAATACATTTTCACCGTGAATATAAAAATGATTAACATTTGGAAAACAGCAAAGGTGAAAAACAGCACTCAATCTTATCCACCCCACCCGACCGCTGTTAATGTGTCGCCCCGTATTGTTAGGCTTCCCCGTAAGCTCTACATCGTCCAGCGAGTCCCGTCCTCTATGACTACAGGGGACTGACTTCATCTTGTACAATTAACGTTGTCCCATGATGCTACCGATGAGACCGGACCGTAGGAAATTCCCAATATTTGACAGCTCGAGTTTTAAAAAGAGCAGTTTTCTATGGTTCAAACTAATGCTTTTCCTAATTGTGACCTGAAAGTNCAGCGAGTCCCGTCCTCTATGACTACAGGGGACTGACTTCATCTTGTACAATTAACGTTGTCCCATGATGCTACCGATGAGACCGGACCGTAGGAAATTCCCAATATTTGACAGCTCGAGTTTTAAAAAGAGTTTTCTATGGTTCAAACTAATGCTTTTCCTAATTGTGACCTGAAAGTCAGGAGACTGTTGATCCGGCGGACATGCCACTATTTCTGAACTAGCATGTGCCGCTGCAAACCAGCACCCCACCCCCCGTTCACTTTAGCACAAACCGCATGGATAGAAGAGACTTCAAAGCTGGCTTCTCACCAAGGCGCCCCAGACACACTCACCGTATCTCGTTGTGTAAAATGAGAATTTGCCAAGTAGGAACTTGAGCACAATGTACACTCTAAATAAAGCGAGCCCTCGGCCCAGCTTAACTGATCGGCCCTCTTGGTACAAAGTCAGCCAGCAAGTCAAGAAATGCCGGTGACGCCCTCTCCGGGCCAGGGACCAGCAGGTGCACACTCGGGCCAGCCCGGTTTTGCTTGTTGGCTTCTGAGTGTGTGCACCTTGTGTGCGTGCGTGTGTTTATTTTACTATAAAGTGAAGAATCATTTCTTCGGTCCTACCTACGAAACGCTTGACTCCTGAGGACCAGCGTCCTCTTTGAAGGCTTACGCGAGGTACATTGTTCCCCTGAAGCACAGAAAAGCTGACCTGTGGCCCCCTCCCCGGTTCTGGGGCGCAGCCTCTTCGCTCGGGTGCGGGCGGCCGGAGCTAGTGGGAGATCAGGCAACACCTCTCCGGCCTCCGCGGCTCAGTGCTCTTGCCTCTGCCAAAGGCTGGGGTGGTCTTCCCGTCGCTTCTTCCTGGAAAGGATGTCAGAAAGCGAAAGCCATCTGTGATAACACCCATCTTGGGAGTTTCAGGTAAAAGTCATTAAAACATCAAAAGAAAAAAGCCCCATCAATGTCTCCAGTCTTGCTCGGCTAGTTTATAAATAGAAAGCCAGCCCGGCCGGCATGGCTCAGCGGTTGAGCATCGACCTAGGATCCAGGAGATCGCAGTTCGATTCCCAGTCAGGGCACAGGCCCGGCCTGCGAGCTCGATCCCCAGCAGGGCCGTGCAGGAGGCAGCCGATCAGCGACTCTCATCATTGGTGTTTCTCTCTCTTTCCCTCTCTCCCTTCCTCTCTCTGAAATTAATAGATATATTTTAAAATAAATAAATAGAAAGCCATTGGAAAGAACAGATCAGACTTGAACAAATTAAGTTCATGCTTAAGTTCATTCTCTCGCATAAATGATACATTGGCTTGTGTGTTATTGTTTCAGGAAGGACAACCCTAAAGTTATTATTGGCGCACACTGTACGTCCCAGAACAGAAAATGTGGCCACATATTTTCCATTAAAAAGGCAATTTCCTACCCATGCTTTGATTCAGAATCGTATGAAGGGGATCTTCAGCTCCTTCAGGTAAATATGTGTTTTTTTCAATAACTATTTTGAAATAGCAAAATTCTAAAACTTGGTCAGTTTAACCTGAAAATGGTTTTTACCCTCTCAGCCAAGGTTGGCTAATGCCAGGATGTGGGGGTAAGATGCATAATTGGGACCCAGTACCATTGCTACAGATGTCAACCCTCTTGACAAAAGTCCTGCTGAGATAGGACCTCGCAATCCAAAGCGGTGATGCCACCAGGACCTCACGTAGTCACCACCGCTCGGTTCACGGGAGCTTGCTCAGCAAGGGAGACTGAGCCCCGAGGAGCCACGGGGTGGCTCAGTGTTAGGTGGGGCTCGCTGCAGGATTTGGGCTTGTGTCGGGTGATTTGAGGACAGGTTCGAGGAAGCAAGAGTTTTCTCCGAGCTGAGGGTGAGTCTATGGTTGGGCATCTCAGGGCACCTTACCTACCCAGGAGGGGGAGGGATGGAGAAGGTAAATCTGGGTTGGTGATAGCGGGCCTTGGTCAGTTTTGTGCCGCGCACAATGGCCTGGCTGTTGTCTCCGCTCGGACAGGAGTGCAGAACGACCTTGGTTTGCTTGCTTCATGAGGGCCACCTTGTCTGATGCAGGAAAAAGTGTCGCCCAGCTGCGAGGGCTTGAGTGGGTGCCAGCCTGCTTTTCTCTTCCACAGAAGAGACGCAGAAACCAGGTCCTGCCCTAACGGCCCTCGCAGTCGGGTGGGAGAGACATGAATCCCCAGCTCTGATCTGACAGCGTTTCACTCGACGAGCTGAGGGGGGTCAGGGGAGCTTTCCTAGGGACAGCCGGGAATCCGCAGGAAAAGGGGAGAGGAGCCTCCCGGGCAGAAGGAGCCGCACGCGTAGGAGGAGGATTCCTGGAAAATGCATTTGGAGGAAGAGGGGAGGGAGCTATGAGATTTGAGGGGGGGGACAGGACGGGGCACCTGGGACCAGGCGCCGCAGACCTGACAAGAGGTTTGCACTTTAGGGGAAGGCAATAGGGAAGCGTTTCAAGTAGGGTAGTGACGTGATCAGACTTAACCCCCCACTCCCTGCCCCCACATTTATATCCTGCCCCCCATACTTACATCCTGAGTCCCCCATACTCCCTGCCCCCTAAACTGACATCCTGGGCCCCACACTTATATTCTGACCCCCAAACTATCTGCCTCAGGGCTATCAGGCTGGACCCCTCTCTCTGGACACCCCTCTTCCCCCATACTCTAATCCCATCCAGGGTCCTGGGCAGTGAAAGGCGATTCCCTGCCCCGCCCCTAGAGGGTGCTCTGACTTGCTTCCCTGCTGCGTTTTCCTCTCGTCACTTCCCTCTAATACACTTTAGACTGTTGTATTTGCTTATCTTCCTCCCTCGCTGGAATGTATCACAGAATAGGTATTTTTGTCTTTTTACTTTTTACCTAGAAGAGTACCTGGAACCTAGTAGGTCCTCGATAAATATTTCCTGAATAACTTTGAATGAGGGTGGAGTTGAGCCAGACAATGGCAGAGGTAATCAGGAGAAGGAAAGAGATTCCAGACTAAGGTTTCAAGCAAGGGGTAGAAGGGGTCAGGTCTCCTCCAGGACCTAAAAGTCTTACTTTTACAAGGGGGTGGGGTGAGTCAGGGACGTGAGCCGGGAAACTCCTCCGCACCTCTGACCCTGTGGCCAGCCAGGTGACATTGCTGGAGAAACAATAAGGAGACACCAGGGTGACTTCACATGGTCAACCTTCCAGGGTGAAACCCGGTGATATGCTCAGCCCTGCTGTGTGTTCCTGTCCCCAGAGAGCTGGGCAGGACCCCACTTACACACATCCTTCCCAGACTCCAGATGTGATCCATTCATTAAGACCCGCTGTCCCTTTGGGGGGCGGGGGGCGCCTTCCTCCTGTCCACCCAGTCAGATAACAAGCACAGAGACTATGAGAAACATTAGGCGGGAGAGAAGTTGCCCGTGGGCCCTTGAAGTCACGTCCCATGAACGACTTTCACTTGTGGCCATCTCACCTTCTAAATGTTAGCGGGTGGGGGTGGGAGCACCAGCAGCTCAGGGGCACTAAGGAAGTGGGGGCTGATTGAAATGCAATGTGGCAGTGGAGTGGGGCAGTGGCCACTGCTGTTGTGTCCTGTGTGGTTTTTTTAAAATGTTTTTATTGATGTCAGAGAGAGGAAGGGAGAGGGAGAGAGAGAAACATCAGCGATGAGAGAGTCATTGATCGGCTGCCTCCTGCACACCCCCTGCTGGGGATCAAGCCCACAGCCCAGGCACGCGCCCTGACCGGGAATCCAACTGTGACATCCTGGTTCATGGGTCAATGCTCAACCACTGAGCCACACCAGCCAGGCTGTGTCCCGTTTTTAGAAGGCCCCCAATACCAGGGCCTTCTCCAGTTCAAACTGAGCTTGAGGTGAGAATGAAAGAACGAACTAGACCTGTCTCCCTCTGGCGTCCACTCAGCCGTGATCACACCCCCTGCTCCCTGCCTTGAGTTTGGGGAAGAGACAGGGCACAGTGGGAAGCCAGGTCAGGGCCTTGGTGAGTGAAGGGAAAAGGCACCGGGCACCCAGAGGCAGGTGAGACCCTCAGGCTGGTTTTTCTCAGAAGCGGGGAAGCTGCACCTGCACTCCTGTGGGAATGAGGACACGGCCCTTTCCCACCCTGCCCCACGGAACCAGGCGCCGGTTTCCTTCTACTGGTCTCAAGAGCAGTCACTTCGCAAATCTGAGGCCACCTGCATGGAGGGAGGGCGTTCTCCACCCCAGCTTTCCAACCACAGAGCCGTCAGGTCCACCCACATAACATTACTGACAGGTCAACTGAACTGAAGTTGACCTACACTAGCTTAGCAAAACACACCTGAAAAGGTGTGCTGGACTTTGAAAAATCAGTTACTGAGGTTGAAACATGCCATGAGCCATGTCCTTTGTTTAAAAACATGCTAATAAGTGCCGGGCTGCTGTGGCTCAGCGGTTGAGCATCCATCTATGAACCAGGAGATCGGGGTTCGATTCCCGGTCAGGGCCATGCACAGGTTGTGGGCTTGATCCCCAGTTGGGGGCCTGCAGGAGGCAGCTGATCAATGACTCTCTCATCGTTAATGTTTCTCTCCCTCTCCCTTCCTCTAAATCAATAAATACATATTTTAAACAACAACATGCTAATAAGCAAGATATATATTCCAGTCAGAGCTATTTTCTGGTTTTGTTACCGTTGTCCTTACCTCTCCTGCCCCTTTTTTAGCTGGCAGGTAAAGTGCCTAAAACCAAAGCTCTAAGAACACTTCCGCTACCCAAACCAGAAGAGGTCAGTCCCCACACCAGGTGTCACGTGGCAGGATGGAGAAGCACCAGAAGAGACTCCTCCAAACTGTCAAAAAGCCTGAGAGAACTTAATGTCACTGTGATCGACCAGAAAATGTGCAACAACAACAAGCACTATAATTTTTCACAACGTATTGTTGATCATAGCATGATCTGTGCTGGTGGAACAGGCAATTCATGTGACGTAAGTAAATTACATATTTAAACCATTGTTTGGCTCTAGGATACAAGGTGAGCTAGATTCACGAGAAGAGGGTGGACAATTGTTGCTTTTTATGTACAAGGCCTGAAAGAGCCACTGCTGACCCTGGTGTACAGGCCGCCCTTTGTCCTGGGGGAACCTTCTGCTCAGGGAGCGTCCCCTCCTTCCTAATGATCACTTTCAGGACACCATTCAACTGCCATCTTTGGATGCTCTCCGGTCTTCCCAAAAACGATGGTGGCAGCTGGCATGACCCATCCCCAGTCCTATATTCTATTCTACTTAATCCCCAAATAAGCCCATGAGATGGGCACTATTATCATCAACTGTATTTGACAGATGAGGAAATTAAAGCATGGAAAGTTAATTCACTTCCCCAAGTTAAATAACTTAGCTGTCAGTGGGGTGAACCTGGATTTGAACCGAGGCCACCTGACTCCCAACTCCTACACTGTTTGCCTTTCCAACTGCCAAGGACAGGCTTGACCGGGGTGGACTGTACCTGGGCTCATGATGCCTCCATGGTTTGCAAGGTCAGAGAGAATATGAAACGGGAGCTGATGAATCTCAGAAAAATCATCCCTAAGAACTGTCTGAAATATCACAGGTACTCCTTGGTCTGAGACGCCCTCCCTAGTGCCCTTTCCGAGTGGGGAGTAGTTGAGGTCCCACCTCAAGCCTTCTAGGAGCCCCAACATGTGGTTTCTCCCCCTAACATCTACAGACCAAGAGCAGAGAGCACAGGTCGGCTGAGAGACAATCATTTCCACAGCTCAGGGCTTCCTTCCCTGTTTCACCAGTGAAAGGACTTCGCACATCTCCAGAATTGCCTTTTTCAGAAGGAAAATGATGGAAAAGATAGATAAATCTGTGTTAATTGATGCTGAGGGCAGACAATTAATTAATAAAAGAGATATCAACATTAGGCCCTGGCCGATTTGGCTCAGCAGTAGAGCGTCGGCCTGCGGACTGAAGGGTCCTGGGTTCGATTCCAGTCAAGGGCACATACCTCGGTTGCAGGCTCGATCCCCGGCCCCAGGTCAGGGCACGTGCAGGAGGCAGCCAATTGATGTCTCTCTCACATCGATGTTTCTCTCTCTCCCTCCCTCCCTTCCACTCTCTCTGAAAAGCAATGGAAAAAATATCCTCAGGATATGATTTAAAAAAAAAAAAGAGAGACATTAGGCCCTGGCCAGTGTAGCTAAGTGGTTAGAGAGCCGGTCCTCACGCTGAAGGGTTGCGGTTCGATTCCCAGTCAAGGGCACATCCCTGGGTTGCAGGCCGATCCCTGGCCTCTGTTGGGGCACGTGCAGGAGGCAGCCAACCAGTGTGTCTCATATTGATGTTTCTCTCTCCCCCTCCCTTCCACGCTCTTTAAAAATCCATGGGAAAAATATCCTCGGGTGAGGATTCTCTCTCTCTCTCTCACACACACACACACACACACACAGATACTAGGTTAGCCCTTAAAATAAGGAGAGAAAGGATGTGCGAGTGAGCGAATGAGTCCATGTCTTTGGAAAGGCCCCCGTTTAAAGCATGGCTCTCTGTTCCAGGTGGTTTCTGGAAGTCCTCTGATATGTGAGGGCATTTTCAGAGGTGTCTCTTCCTTTCGGGAGTGCTGTGGCCCTAAGAAGCCTGGCGTCTACACTCTCCTTATCCGAAAATACCTGGACTGGATAAGGAAGACCATGGCAGGAGCCGCCTGACCCTCCTTCCTCCAAGCGGAGAACTGAGGTGCCCACCGACGAGGTTGAGCAAAGGGGAGCTGAAGAAACACCTCGCGACCCTCCACCCTTGGGTGCCAAGGACACAGCCTGTTCGAAACTTTCCGTCAGCATCCCGTCCTCTTGATCCCATCATCTAGATGTTCCTTGAGAAAAAGTTCCCCAGTTCAGTCACCCTTTGCTCTATTCAGAATTTGAGGACTGTCACCTTCGTGTTTATCTGTAAAAGGAAGGAGATCTCAGGAAAAGTTAGGATATTCTTTCTTCTTCAAGTAAAGCTTCAAAATACCTATGGCCTTTGAAATCTAGAGCGTGATATTCTATTCAATGTGGGAATGAGAGGAAGGGGGATCGTCCCTGCCCACTACGTGCTTCCATATATTTCCATTTTCACAAAAGCTTAAGCTGTAGACAACGAGAGAGATCCCGTGTGTGTTTTAGATGTTTGGAAATTTTAGTATTTGAGGATATAGTTCAGAGCATTGCATGTTATTAATTACAAGTAGTCTGAAGTTTCATATACCAGTAGGCCTCTGTCCAGCCAGCACCCTGGTGTGTATTTTGCCTTAGCTAGTGAATTTATATATGCAAGCGCTAACCTTAACACTGTTATTCTTAATAAATTGTGAGACATAATAAAGAAAATGGCTTTTTTTACCCCCTACCATTTATATCTCATGTTTTTGTTATGCTGTTTCTCCAAAGACCCGATTTATAATAAACTCATTCCCTAATAATCCTGACTGATGTACCCATTTTAATTCCCCAAACATTTCCTGAGGGCCCACCATGTGCCAGGCATTGTGTCCAGCACTGTAAATACTGAGACACAACGACTGCCCCGTCACGGGACTTCTCACCGACATTTAGAGCAAACCTGAGCTTACCACAGGCTCTCGGACCCCGAGCAGCTGGCCTGGGCCCCACCCACTGTCCTCAGGCCTCAGTCACCCTGCGCACCCGGCCTGCCCATTTGCCCTCACACACACACACACGCACACACACACACCATACTCGAGCCACCAGCACCTCACGCACACTCACACTCGCTCACCCACAAACTGGGTTTCCTCCACTTGGCTCCCTTCCATCCGGCAGGTCTCGACTTAAGTGGCAGATGCTCAGAACAGTCTCGTCTGACCCCCCTCTCGAAGAGAGACCCGGCCCAGCGCTCCCCATTTCGGCACCCGTTTCTTTTTATTTATTATACTGACAACAACCTAGAACCATTTCACACATTTTTAACATTCTTCCTTCGCAGACAGACTATCTCCGTACTGGCGTGGAGGGGAGACGGGCCGTGACGTCACTGCGCCTGCCCGGTGGGCCAGCCCGGGCCAGGTCCCTCAGTGCAGACCCTCCTGAGAGGGACCTGACCAAAACTGATGCTCATCTGGACATAAACCAGCACCCTGCCCTCCTCCTGCTACACGCTGGCTGCTGGGACAGGCTGGGGTCCTGCCCTGGTCACACATATCAAGTCACGCCCGTACCCGGGAGCATCCGAGTACCTGTGGCTATCCGGCCCCTGACCTTACATAATTCTCTGGTGCCTATTAAGTGGCACAGGGACCCGTTTTGCCTTGCAGCACCCAAGTCGTGCCTGGGTGTACGTTTCCCTTAGTAAAGCAACTGCCCTCCTAGAGCGGCCGGTCTGGTCCTTCAGTCCTTCCCTGTCCTCCCTCACAGACGGAGGCTCAGTCCCGGACCCTCCCTGGGGCTGTGCGCACCAACGGCAAGGGTTAAACCCATTCTACTAACCTTTGCTTCTGATGCCCAGCATCTAACACTGCGCCTGGCACCTAAAAAGCATTCAAGAGGTATTTGTGTAAATAACTAATTAATATAACGTTATGCACGCTCCCCAGTAGCCAATTCCCTCCTCTACCTCCATAGAAAGGGTACAGCAAATTCAAATACAAATGCCACGAACGCATGCATTGCTCTTAGAAAGGGTTGGTTCACTAACTTACATGGATTTCTAAGTGTTGACACATATCATCACATGATATTTTTAAAGTCATGTTTGTTCATATTCCCGCCATCTCAGAAAAGTCCTGACGTGTCAAGAAGAGGTTAAGCTCATGAGAGCAGACCCAGGGGTTCCAGAAACTCTAACGTTCCCGAGAAAGCTCTAATTTTGCCCTTAGCAGTAGAAGTTGTGCTCTTATTTTTTTTAGCCCTCACCCAAGGATATTTTTTTCCATTGCTTTTCAGAGAGAGTGGAAGGGAGGGGGAGAGAGAGAAACATCGATGTGAGAGAGAGACATCTCTTGGTTGCCTCCTGCTCATGCAAGGGGCAGGAATCGAACCCGGGACCCTTTAGTCCGCGGGCTGACACTCTAACCACTGAGCCAAACTGGCTCGGGCGAAGTTGTGTTCTTCAAAATGCTTCGTTCATATTTGAGAAAACGTTGGCTGAACAGCCAAGCTGGAATAATCACAGTGTTCCCTGAGCTAGACCAGCTCACGAGCATTTCCTCGGGGCGGCCTACTTTGCATACTCCCCACATCACAGAACATGAAAATGACACTGGCTACAGAATAAAGATGTGTGAAAATTCATCATTATGATTATTTTTACTGATTCTACTGTTTCATTCCTTTCACTCTTTAGTGAAATTAGCTTATTTTTAATTTTTTTATTTCCTTTTTTTTTTCTTTTTGAGAGTGCCTGACCGTGATTAACACAGCAACCACTGGTACCGCTTGTTGCTGCTGCATTGACAAAGACACAGGCAGCTGACCTGTCATGGCTTCTGTGCCGTCAGTGAAAATGTCCACACCCAGGGGGAAAGGCCACATCTCAGTCTTATTATGAAGACAGTTTTAGCCTTGTGCACCCCAAAAGGGTCTCAGGAACCCCCAGGAGTCCACAAACCACACTTGGAGAACCACTGGTTTACAATATTGCGATGGCTCGTTCACAGCTGGGATGAATTAAAATTTTCCCCGGAACATAAAGAAATAACCTACATACACAATTTTTAAAATGTATATTTTATAGTCAAAACAATCTTGAAAAAAAGGTTGTTAGAACACAACAAAGTTGGTGGAAAAGTTGGTGGACACACATTTTTCAACTTCAAAACTTTCTACCGTAATCAAGATGGTGTATGCTGGCGTAAGGACGGACAATGTTACAGGGGTGGGAGCCCAGAAATGAACTCTATAGCAAACTGATTTTTGACAATGGGATCAAGACAATTCCATGGGAAAAGAATAGCCTTTGCAAGAAACAATGCTGGGATAACCACGTGTCCACATGCCAGAGGATGGAGTTGGACCCCCTACCTCACACCATACACAAAAGTTAACTTGAACTGTACAAAAAATTTAATTAAAAAGGAGACCTAAGTGTAAGAACTAAAACTATAACACCCTTAGAAAAAAAAACAACATGAGACTAAGTCTTTGTGGTCTTGGGTGAGTCAACAATTTCTTACTGTCACACCAGAGGCTCATGTGATAAGAGAGGCTGGTGAGTTGTTAAAATTGTTGTGTTTCAAAAGACACCATCAAGAAAAATAAAAGACAACCCACAGACTAGGAGAAAATATTTGCAAGCTATATATCTTATAAGGGACTCATATCCAATAATAAGGAGCATTACAACTCAATAATAAAAAGATAATCCAATTAAAAAATGGGCAATATATTTGAATAGACATTTCTCCAAAAAAGATAAATGATTGTCTAGCAAAGGCATGAAAAGAAGCTCAATGTCATTGGTCATTAAAGAAATGCAATTCAGCCCAGCCGAGCGTGGATCAGAGGTTGAGCGTCGACCTAGGATCCAGGCGATCGAGGTTCGATTCCCGGTCGGGGCACATGCCAGGGCTGTGGGCTCAATTCCCAGTCAGGGGCGTGCAGGAGGCAGCCGATCAATGACTCTCTCATCACTGATGTTTCTGTCTCTCTCTCTCTCCTTTTCTCTCTCTCTCTCTCCTTTCCTCTCTCTGAAATCAATATATATTTCTTTTAAAAAAAGAAAAGAAATGCAATTCAGTGCCTACAGCTTCTTAAATTTGTCTAGTTGGCCTTCCAATCTTTACCAGGAGGCCCTAGAGAGAAAAGAAATACAATTCAAAACCGCCCTAAGAGACTATGTCACACCCAGTAGGCTAGCAATGATTTAAAAAATAATACATAGCAAGTGTTGGCAATGATGTGGAAACATTGGAACCCTCATGCATTTTGGGGGAATGTAAAATGGTGCAGCCACTTTGGAAAACTGTTTAGAAGTTCCTCAAGCTGTTAAACACAGAGCTCCCATGTGACCCAGCAATCATACCCCCAGGTAAACGCCCAAGAAAGTTGAAAACACATTTCCACCCAAAAACTTGCACATAAATGTCATAGTAACATTATTCATAACAGGTAAAAAGTAGAAACGGCCCAAATGTTCAGCCGCCAATGGGCAGCTAGATAAATGTGGTGCATTGATACCATGGAAAGTTCAGCAACAAAAAGGACTGAAGCACTGATACAGCCACATGAGCCTCAAAAGCCTTGTGCTACATGACAGGCCGTCACAAAGACCGCGTGCTGTACAGTTCCACGTATGTGAAATGTTCAGATCAGACAAATCTATGGAGCCCGGCCGGGCGTGGCTCAGCGGTTGAGCGTCGACCTGGGATCCAGGCGATCGGGGTTCGATTCCTGGTCAGGGCACATGCCCGGGTTGCGGGCTGCAGCCAATCAATGACTCTCTCATCATTGATGTTTCTCTCTCTCTCTCTCTCCCTCTCCCTCTCCTTCCCTCTCTCTGAAAATAAATAAAGATATATTTAAAAAAAAAAAAAGATTTACAGACAAATCTATGGAGACAGGCAGTGGATCTGCGGTTGTCCAGGGCAGGAGCGTGGGGAAGGGAGGGTCATGGGAGCGACAGGCTTCCTTTGGAAACGATGAGAATGTTCCAGGGTTAACCATGGAGGCAGCTGCCCAGCTCAGGAACGGTTTCTAAGCTGCGTCTCGTAAGCTGCTCAACGTCAGCATGAAGGGGGCATAGCAACCGCCTTCCCATGAAAAGAAATATTCTCCACTTTCCTTTAAGAATTTTTCAGTATCTACAGTCAATGAATGTTTTATTTTCTTTAAGTTGCACTGAAATGACTCACTGAAACCAGAAGCCGGGGGGTCCCATCGCTGTTACTAGACCTGAGTGACCTGTGACGAATACCAGTAACACCCGGGAAAAGGAAACCCAGGGCTCAGGGGGGCTCCCTGCTAGGTGGTGTCATTTCTGAGAAAGAAACCCCAGGGTCTGAAGTCAACAGGGTGTTAACTCGGGGAATGGTTAGTTTAACACCAAACACCCTGACAGGACATAGGACCACAGGGGTTACGAGAAAGATCACACCCTTCGCTCAGAAAAAGAGCAAAGACATTTCTAACCGAGGGCACCTGGGTGCTGTTCCCTCAGGGACGGACGCCGAGCCACCTCAGCGTGCGGTGGCCTCCATGCTGGGACAAAATAGCCGCGTCTGACTCCTGTTGTACTTCTTCAGTTAAATCCGGAGAACGGAAGAAAGGATAGGAAAGGGGGGGACTCAGAAACACTCTCATGTGTGTGCTATCGGCAGTTAGACACGAGCAGGGCAAGGGCGACGGCCAGATACAAAGGTCACCAGGGCAAAAAGCCCCAGGGGCCTCGCAAGGGACAAAGCTGGGAAAACTGGGACCTCACCCCAGGGTAACCTTTCCTCCCCCAGCATTTTGCTGGTCATGCGGTTTGGACCCCCTGAGCCTTACTCCCTGGAGATAACATCCAGGCCTCAGTTGTATTTCAGCTCCAGGCCCAGAAAAACAGCAAAACCACACAAGCTGTTCCGTGGCTGCCTCGGGACCAGCTGCATTGACTAATGACCCCCTGGCCTGGCGCCGACTGATCAGTGGAGGCCACGACCCTGAAAGAGCACATCTGGAAAGCTGATGAATATTCTATTGAGATTTGCCCCTAAGACACCCCCACCCCCCAAAAAACACACAACTCTCAGCCTTTAAAAACCCTCAAAGGCAAGGGAGCCAGTACACTCCTACGGGGAGCATGCCATTCCCGCCCCCCTTTCTTTCCTCCACAGGCAGGCATCTCCTGAACTCTAAGGGGCACCAGGAGACTTGCAACCAGGGGAGCAGTGGGCAGCAGCAGCTCCTCCCGGGGTTAGTCCCCTAACCTGCCTCCAAGGCCCCTTTTCTCTGATTTCCCAGTGAGCCAGAGCAGCCCAGCCAGGCTCTCCTGGTGCTTCTCCTGTGCTGAGCCCTTCTTGGTTCCACTGTCCCCAGCTTTTTGTGTTTTTTTTAAAGATATCTTCATTGATTTCAGAGAGAGGAAAGGATAGAGATAGAAACATCAATGATGAGAGAGTCATTGATCGGCTGCAGCCCGCAATCCGGGCATGTGCCCTGACCGGGAATCGAACCCCGATCGCCTGGATCCTAGGTCAACGCTCATCCGCTGAGCCACGCCCGGCCAGGCCACTGTCTCCAGCTTTAATAAACGCCCCATCTGACGGTGCTTTTGCTGCGGCCAGTCAGCTCTAGCTTTGCTGCGCTTTGTCTCTTGACTGACATCTCTCCTTCAAAAAGACAAGAGCAGGGGCCTCGTTGTCTCCCCAGTGAAATATCTAAAGCTGTAAAATCAGTCAGGGGAAGCATAACCCGAGGTCTGGAAACAGCCACCAGCCCCTACCTCCTGCAGCTCCGTCCCCACACCGGCCGCAGACGCCAGACAGGAGCCCAGAAAACCAGCCTCCACACAGAGTGGGGAAGGAAAACCCAGGCAGGAATGAAAAAAGGCATCGCCCCTTGTCCTTGACCTACGGCTCCTTGCGTAGCCCAAAGAGACCAAGTCTTAGGACATTTTTTAAAGCTCCAATTCAAGTCTAACAAGAGCTTCCACTCCTGGATACGGACGGTAATGTTGCTGGTGCTGAAAAGCAGAGTCCTCCAATCTGCTGAGACCCCTCAGAGGCCCCTCCGAGGGGTGCGCTACATCCTGAGGACCACAAGGGCCCCCGGGCCCCCACCCGCAGTGGAATCACAGGCCTCTCCCTCAAGTCCTGCCTGGGGAGCATGCCCACCGCGAGCTGTTCTCACCAGTTTCGTTTCCTAGGCTCCAGCTTGAAATGTGAAAGAAAGAAAAACCACATCCTCTGCGCTCTCAGTATATAGAGCGGGTGGGTCAAGGGCTGAGAACAGATTTTCGCCTCGACCGGCGCTGGGACAGCAGCCGCGATGAGGACTCCCCGGGCGCCCCTGGCCTCCTCTCTCCCCATTGCCATCTGTCTCCTGCTCCTTCCCGGAGGTAAGGCTGACCCTTGGCATTCCCACGAGACGAGCGGACTGCCGTGGGCTCTTGGCCACGTTAGCTAGCTAAGCGTGCTTGGGGAGGTTCGCCCCTAGGCCTTAACATTGTCTTGGGTTATAACTATTCTTTATTTTAGAAGGAAAAACACCCTTCTTTACAAGTTCTTCACAAAAGATCGTAGAACCAGCCAATGCTTACTGCTGCCAATTCGTAAAACTGCCCAAAAGAATGAAACAAACCAACAACGCAAAAGCGCTTGAGTTAGGAAAACAAACAGTACCTTCCAGGGAAGGCCGAGAGGTCCGTCCGCTGGCTGCTGGCGGGCTGGGGAAATGCTGCGGGTTTTATCGCCAATTGACGCGGGAACAGGACCTACTCACCTGTAGCAGATCAGGGATGATTAGAATTTGCATCGTTTCTCCAGGCGACTGTGTCCTCGGGCAGACATTAGGACACCGGGGATGTCCCCGCATCACCTCTCTGGAAGTGCTGCAGTATTTGTATCAGGCTAGATCTTTACTGCGCTCAGTAGTAACCAACAGGCCTGGTTTCGTGTGTGCGTCCCATGTGCGTCCGTTTGAAATGCGTGGAACGCCAGGCGTTCTCCCGGGGAGGGGAGGGGAGGGGAGCAGCCCCCGGGGTCGCCCCTCTCTCCTTCCCCTCTCAGTGTTCACACCTCACTGTCCTGACAGTGGAGTCCCAGGCACTGTGCCCTGGTGAAGGAACCATGAGCCTGAGCCAGCGCTCAGGAGAAATAGTTCAGGAGACTCCAAGAGCGTCAGGTGTGGGAAGGCGGGCAGGTGAGAGGGTTTCTCGAGGCCCAGGACCTTCTAAACCAACAGGCAGGTGGCCTTGGGTCTCGGCTCACTGCGCTCCAATAAACCCATACGCCGGGTCTACCACCAAGGAAACCACCGAGGCAGGATTCTGTCCTGTGGCCCCTTCTCCCTCCCTCCCTCACCTCATCGGGAAAGAGCTTAGATCAAACCTGGTGGTTCAGCCTGGAGACTGAGGGGAGCCTCGGGAGCCACGGGTATTAGTGTCTCAGTTTATGAATGAGGTGGGTGCAGATTTCAGTAAAAGGAAGTCTCACAGTGACCAAAGGACTCCAAGCAAGGTCACCGCTAGAAGGTGCCAGTACCAGTTTGTAAGCGTGTGTTTCAGCAAGGACTTGGGGTGACAAGTGCAGTTCTCAGGCTCCTAAAAGCCTTTTGCCTTCCCCGGATTAACACTCAGCCAGAAAGGGGGAGGCCCTCAAGGTTGTCATCATCACCAGCATTTCCTGTGGCAACTGTTACCTGGAGACCCATGCACAGCCGGCTGCCCTTTTCCGCCCTGAGCCCTGAGCCCTGAGGTTTGAGCCCTG